ATCGAAGCGAGAAAGAAGGGCGGCTATCACGCGTCAAAACGCGCTGGTCAAATGCGGTAAGGGGATGAGGCGTATACTCACGTGGCCGTTACCCGTATCTCGTCAGGTGTGGGGTTTCCGAAAGACTCGCCTCGCGCAGCTTCCAAGGATGAAGGATATCCCAGTCAATAGTAGGGGCAAGTACAACCGCCGAATGATGGTGGTAGGAGACAAGGAGATGGGCAATGGCAGGAGCTCGGGCCGTAGCGTAATAGGCGCGCGCTTGTGCGCGCGTCCCAGGGCTAACTCACTTGCCTCCTCCCATGATCAGCTCGACTTGGAAGGTGTCTTCCTTTTTTTGCCCTGCCAACTCTATTTCTATTCAAACATGAAGACATGTCCCTTCGCGACGCGTCGCATGAGTTGTCAACATGCTGCCAGACGTCTCCTCCACTGCACAGGTCACTGCGCGCTGTCTCACGGACCCCCTTCGATACGTATCGCCGAAGGATAGCGAAGGATCTGCATGGTCTCTCTGGGCGCGCATTAAACAGACGACATCTTGCCCCATGTGCTGTCTTCTCAATCCTCATTTGCCTCCTGCTCCGCATGGCGATATACAGCCTGCTCTTCGACGACGTCTTCCCATCCAGACGCGCTTACGATTCGTGACCACCCACGACCAATAGGTTGGATTGCAGAAGCAGTCTTGTCAGTATGGAGCATGTATGATAGCTGCTACTCGGCATAAGGGCGAGAAATTGGTTATGCCCAGATTTACTGGTAGCATGCGGCTCGCAAGAAGCGGATGCAGACGAACGTTCGCACACAAGTGCCACAACGACGGCGCCACAAGAATCTACATTCTAGCTTCTATGACGTGCTTACGAGTTGCATGGAGAGTCGCGTCGCGCTCAAACATGTTTTGGCTATTCCGAACCGACCATCCTTTGCCTTTCAACTACTATCCTCCAGACCTAGCTCCTTGCTAGTATTCCCGCTGCGACACCTATCTGAGGCTCTACTAGGCGCCATGAGCTTGCCTGCCCGCAAGCGTTCGCTACCCGCGGAGATACCCCAGGCGAGACAGAAGCAAGCGCGAACGAGCCAAACCTGCGGCCCTTGTCGAGCGCGGGTATCAAGATGCGACAAGTGCGTCTACCGGAGATATCTTCCCGCTTTCCCAGACTGATTCTCGAATGACCTTCAACCGCCAGACAGCGCCCGTGCAGCTCATGCATTCTGGCGAATACGCAGACTCAGTGTTATCCCGATGCAGCATCGTATCAGCCTCCGCCGTCACATCTGGTCTCGAGGGCGCTGTCCAGACGAGATTCGCAGACGCATAGGATTCTGGGAGCGCCTATGGGAAGGAGAGGAAGCAGCGGTCAACAGCTATACGAAGGTCCTACAGCAGTTCTGATGACGCTCGCGTCGCTGCATGATGAGGTGCGTTATATCATATGTCGTGTAACTCTTTATTGACAATTCTGCAGTCCCCGGAAGTTCCGCCCGCTGAGCTTGCTCCCGAGCGTATCCGCAAGCCTTACCGTCCAGATAAGGACCTAGATGTGGTTAGTCAGCTACCACCTCGCGATGTCTGCGAACGCGTAGTAGGTAAGTACGCACGATTCTTGCCACGATGCGCACAAATTAACAATCTTGATCAGACTATTACTTTGAGCACTGTACTTGGCTATACAAGTACTTCGATCGTCGGGCATTCGCCGAGCGCCTGTCTCGGTGGCGTACGGATGAAGAGACCGACTCCTTGACACTCGCCGGCATTGCTATCATCTGCGCAATCGTCGTCCACTGTCTGCCGCCCCATCATGAACTCGCATCTACCCTAAAGGTATTCCCGGATTATAAGCCGTTACCTCCCGGTGCGAACGAGAAGGATATTCAATCCGCGCGCGAGAGAGCGCACGCCGATAGCTCTGTGAACCGCGCCGGAGTCATCAGTGCACAATTCTACGACGCGTGTGAACTCGCATTAGAGCGAGAGAAGGCGGGCAGCAAGGTGCATGTGTGGACGATGGACTTCTTGGAGGTTGTCCTCGGAAAGTGAGTCTTGCGCCCGTTCCAAATGCCCGCCTTAGTATCTGACCACCTACCCAGATGTCACTACCTGGGGCTCAGTCGAGTGGATACCGAAGAGTTATGGGCTTTGCGCGGCGAACTCGTCTCGATGGCCACGGCGCTCGGTTTGCACCGTTATCCTGGGAAGAATGTCCCGCATCTGGTCGCGGAGCGGCATCGGTCAGTCGCCCTATTTCAAACCGCGACATCTTATTCTGATCTCGAGGCAGCTGGATATGGGGGAACATCATTTTCCTCGAGCGCTGGCAGGCGCTGATGCATGGACGCCCGCTGTCAATTCTACCCGAACACTTCGACGTCGCACTTCCATCCCCCGCGCCAATCTCGCTCCCCCAGACAAGCCACGAGCTTGGTGCCCATTTCTCCCTCGATCTTTCGCATGATCTTTCGGCGGGCCCTTCCACTCAAGAGCAGGATGGACGTCTTATGGCCAGCCTCAGTCGGCATGGCCGCACGGACAGCATGCCGAACATATCGCGACTGGGCTTGCACTCGATCGAGCCCTCTGCAGAGCCCTCCTTTGCACCTAGTGTCGGCGGCCCATCGTTGGAAGGTTGGGTTCCCGCCGCGGACCCTTCTGGCTCAATCGATGCTTCTACGACGGCCAACGTCCCCGCTAGCAACCCATTCGCTCTAAGTCTCGACCCCAATTCCTTACTGCTCGATCCAGCTCAAGAGGCTCAGATGTTCGGGTCATTACCTGCCCTCCCGGGTATCTCCGAGGACGTCGCCGAAGCAGGTTCGCACCCTACATGGGATTTCGGCGAAGGTGACTTGTCGTCATGGTACGCCATATTGAATCAATCACCATCGGCTTCCGGCAACGGGCAGGAGGAGGACTACGGGAAGATTTTGCGTGCACTGCCGGGACCCGAGGAGTGCGGAACGCGCACGTATGAGGCTCATATCGCCCACTTTCAATTGGTGCATATTCTTGGGCGCATCACGGAAGCCCTGCTGAGCCTACGTCCGGTCGCGTATACCCGTATACAAGCACGCGACGATGAGCTGCAGGTGCGCTTGACCAATGTTCTATCCATAATCGGTGTAGTGTTGACCGTATCAATATAGCATTTCATGGATACGCTCGCGCCATCGCTCAAGCTCCCAGCAGAAGATATCGTACAGCTGCTCATCAGTCAGCATACTGGCCTACGTCGGCAAGGCGTGCAAGCTCTCGTAGTGCAGATGGCTGCGCTACACATTCGGTTCATGCTACATCGACCGTACGCTTGTGGTGAAGTCGAAGACTGGCCTACGCCTCCACCGCAAGACTCGTCCACGGCGAAAGGACAGCAAAGTGAGGTTGATGCTTATTTGGAGACGCAGAGGCAGAAGGAATACCGGCGAAAGGTTCGAGTACACGCCGACGAACATGCGACGTCGCTCGCACAGGCCATTCAGGCAGCGCAAGGGCTCATCGAGTTGGCGGTTGTTACAGTACCCAAAGTATGTCCCACACATCAACAACCATCAAATCGTGATTACTAAGCCACTCGCTCAGATGACCCACGCTAATGCATGCGCTGAGCACGCCCATCTGAACTGGGCCCCAGTGCAGGTCACAGCCGCAGCCCTGTTCCTCATCAACGTCGTTGCCACTTCACCCATCCCACAAGCCGAGAACGAACGCAAAATAAACCCCACTATCCCGCAACCGATCTCAGCGTCATCCTCCATATCCTCGAACTCCGACCTTTCGTATCCGTCTCTCAATGCCTTCACACTTCTTCACATCATTCGCCGCGCACTCCGATTCTTGCAGGAGATTGCATACATGTCTACCGCACACAACTCTGCCAGTCTACTTCAGCACCTCGAGCCGCTCTTCACTGAGAGCTTCATACGGTCGTCGACGAAGGAGAGGGCAAAGATCAAGAGGGAGACGCTGATGAATGTCGAGCGGCTCAATATGCCCTATCGCGATGGTGGCACAGTTGGGATCGTGGGCGGAGTGTCGCCGCCCGGACCACCTCAGATGGTCGGGTCGGGCATACATTCACAGGTGCAAGGGACGAACGCCAGCGCGAGCATTCTAAAGGATACGCGCCGGTCCAGTGACGCCGGTGTCTCGAGTGCCAAGTCGACTGATGACAGAACCATCGGAGCGCGGCCAACGCCACCGGCCCGTAGGAGTTCTCTGCACGACCCGCCCCCGCGTATCTCCACAGCGAATGCGATGCGCGCACGAGTGCACTTCGCACCAGAGCCTCCACGCACTGGAACGATATACGTCATGTCTCCTAGCACTACGTCGCGAGGACCTAAAGTGGAAGGCGAGACTACCAGTTCACCGATGACGGCTTCGACCACATCGATACCTGAACACGTTTCACTGGCGCAGCCCGCCAACTCCCAATCCGTTCCTCAGTCCTCAGTCCATAGCCCATCTCAAGCTCAAGCGCAGGATATTCTTCGTGAGCAGGAGCTCTCAACGGTGCCAGCAACACTCTCATCACCGTCCACTATGGCCGTATCTGCGCCAGCGGTGAAGTCATTTGTCCCTGGCATAACGCCGTACCCAACCCTCAATGCTCCTCCCGCTATAAGCGCGGCGCCGCTCCCTGGACCTCCTCAGCCCTCATCCGCGTATCCGACATCAGCCCCGCCATCATCATCGTCGCAGCCCCCGCATATCTATGCTCAGAATACATCTGCGATGCCCAGACACCCTCCACTCCCGTTCCAGTCTCAGCAGTCTCAAGCGCTCCCACCTCCATATCACCGATACCCGATACCTCCGTCTTCCACGACGCCGTTCACGCAGCCCCATCAACAGTCTCCGCCGGTCGGCTTACCTCCGACATCCAGCGCGTTCTCCAACCTATCGCAATCTCTTCAACAGCGAGATCCCAGCTCTTCTGTTCAATACGCGCCGAACCTGATGGGACCGCCATCAGCTGGGGGACATGTGCCTCCCCCGGCTGCTCCTCTGAGTGGTTATGCGATATTCAGCGGGTATCCGAACTCTCAAGCGCCGCCTCAGTATCATCAGCCTCCCGTGGCTTCAAGTGCGGCGGAACACCCACAAGGCGGAAGATTAGGATACCCTCCGGGTTTCAACATGAATAACGTCTACGGCGCTTCCGGCCCGATGAAGAACGCTTCCACGGCGCACTCGCCCTCGACTTCGAACGCGCCATCTTCTCTCAATGCACCCGCACCTGCACCGCCCTCTCAGGTAGCTCCGCCTCCACCACAAGCAGACGCGAATTCGCAGGATTATGGAAGTGCCATGTGGATTCCCCATCCGCCGCCCATGATCAACATGGCGCCCAATCCCGCACCTCCCAATTCCGGCGGAGACGCGTCCGGGTCTAGCTTTTGGACGAACATGATCGGGCAGCGTGTCGGTTCCTATGCACAACCTAATGGACCTGCTTCCCAACCAGGCTACGGCCCGCAGAACCAACAGCAGTGGCCACCAACGTATGCGCAGCCTTGGGCACAGGCTCAAGGGACGCCCGTGCCGCCGCCAGGGCAGCAGGCTGTGGCGAGCTACCAAGGAGGTTATGCTCAGTCGGGGTACCCCCCAGGGCAGATGATGTATGGTCAGCCTGGCGTGCATATGTTCGGTCCACAAGGAGCACCATATGGTGGAACAGGCCCTCCGAGCGCACCAGGTATCCAACCCACGTACGGGCAGCCTCCAACGCAAACACCTTCTCCATATACTCAACCGGTCTCGTACGGTCAGCCAGGCGCGTACTATGGGCAGCCGCCGGGTGCGTATGGACAGGCGCTGCAATACCAAGGAGGCGTGGCGTATCAGGGAAGCATGGGTAGTAATCCGCCGAACCAGAGTTCTTCAACCAACATCATGCCAAGTGCCGCAAACGATGGGCCAGTGCCAACGTTCGATGGACAACACCATGCGCCATTAGCTCAGCAGCAGCAGCATCACTATGATTCTGGAGGACAACAGTGAAGGAAAATAGCTGTAGACTGATACGTTTCGTTCGATTTGTATTGTCAGTCGACCCGTTTGTATGCATCAACGTTATCGCCGATGTACCGTACATACCTAGTACATAACTATATACCCATCCAAAGAAACACACGTGACCGCGTTTCCCAAATGAATACGTTCGAACACCTATTGGATCCCATCTCTCAATCACCACCTGTCATTCCTGCTATCCAGCATGCTCATCGGCAGTAGTAGAAGCGGCCTAATGGTGTGTCTCAGGTTTCTTCAATACCGTATACAAGGATGCCCGGCGGATCAAGCGTCAACGTGTGACGTCGCGGATCGCTGCGGAGGGTCAGGTAATTGGCGCGCCACCGTAACTTGGTCCGCTACCATGTCCTCACTTTGCTTGTTCCCGATCTCTCAAGTGCTCGCACTTCTAAATGCCACCATTCGACGTCTCTCTTGATAGTTTTCAACCGAGGACCAACCGTATCCAGTCTGAACAAGCAATCCATGTTACTTGCAGCGTACAGGATCATCGCCTCGCCCGCCCACTCCTGTACTCCGGAAGTCCGCGTACAGACAGGATTCTTCAACGCCATGCCTTCATGCGGTGCAGCTTGCTTCTCTGCCACGATGCACATCACCGGCCAGAGATACAGGGCGGCAACTTGGTGATCTCTCGCCCGTCAAACCCGGTGTCGGGCGCAGAAAAGAGTCAGGGTGGACTTCGGGCGACCACGACGCTTTGTGCTTGCTAGCGCCATAAGTCGTTGAATCTGCCTGTGTCTGTACCCTTTGCCGTTTAGATTAGAGTCGTATATCTGAGCAGGACTCGCAATGCGAGCGAGACAGCTAGGCTAGCTGAATACGCGAGCCTTTGCCGCTTCAAGCTTCAAGCGCAATCATGCCGTCGATCCCGAGGTGTGGGCGTGTTCCCCAGTGCACTGTAGCGCCCAGAAACGTACTTACACAGACATTCCACATCAGCGCTCTTGAACAACCTCTGAGCGAAGATGTCTTCAGATACGTATGTGTACCTGACGCCTGCGGTATAAGAGAGCAGTCCCGTAAATTGTCTACCTCATTCTCCGCCATGAAGGCGCACTCTTTCATCCCTTTTATCGTTTCCTACGTTCTGGTCGCCACATCGTCCTCTCATGCTGGTGGACATCTTCGTCGAAACTCCTTCTCATCGCCAAATGGCATGAAGATGCAGCCCGTCCCGGCTATGACCTCGCCATCTGGCAGTTCAGTCACAGGTTTGATGAACATACAAGACAGTTATGTTCGTTACTTCCATTGAAGTTTGTCTGGTCCCACTCTGACGTGAATTTGTAGTATTTCTTGAACATCACTCTTGGCGGCTCTGGTACGTGGTTCATTCCTGTACTCGCAGTGTTGCCAGACAGTTGACTTCGACGTCCAACAGTGTTTACGGTGCAACTGGACACGGGCTCGACAGATCTTGTTCTCTCCCCCGATCGCCCCATTAAAACTACATCCGTAATCAAGGGCTCCAACGTCACCGATATGTATGGGACGGGGTTCTTTTCGGGCACTCTCGCTTTCGCTGACCTCGAAGTCGGTGGACAAGTTATCAAATCCCAAGGTGAGTGTTATCTTGAAAGGGCACAAGCCTGTTTTACTAACGCGACGTACCTCTTAGTCTTTATCAATGCGACGTCGGTATGCGATAGGATGATGAATGACCAACTCCCAACTAATACTCTCTTCAGGTCGGTGATTTTCAGACGGAGAGCATGTTCCCATTAGGCATCCGCGGCATCCTAGGGGCCGAACTTAGCTCATATCAATTCTCCGGGATCCGCGACGAGCTCAACGATCGGTACGGAGCTCAGAAAGGAGGGGAGTTAGGGCGAAACATCCTCGCCAACATCTTCAACCAACACCCGAATCTGGGCAATTTTACCACTATCGTGCTCGGCCGCAGCGACGATGGCGAGAGCGCCGGGGAAAGCTACTTTGCGATCGGAGAGTACCCCGAGCGCCTCAAAGATTCATTCTCCAATACCGCCTACATCGATACCATCATTCCAACCGACTTCGATCTTTTCGCGGACACTGTCTCTGTCAACGGGAAAGCAGTCTCTCTAAACTCTTCGATCCGCGGAGTACCGCGCGGTAAGGCGATCGCAAACCTTGATAGCGGGACCAGCACGGCGCTGGTGCCCAGGAGCGTGGTCGATGCCATGTATGGTGGTATACCTGGTGCATTGTACAGCGATCCTGATCAGACTTGGATCGTGCCATGTCTTGGGGACGCTCCCAACATCACAATCACCCTCGGGTAAGACTCGCACGCGATCGTTCTCCAGGCGAACTTTGGCTAACATTCTCCAGTGGCAAGGAAGTGTACATCCACCCTCTCGATCTCACTACCGTCCTTGATCTCCGACCTGATGACAACTTTACGGTCTGCATGGGGACCTTCTCTGTGCTTGACTCAGCCTTTGCAGCTGATGTTGGAGTCGACTGGATCTTGGGCGACAGCTATCTGCGAAACGTATACACGTCGTGCGTATCAATGGGCTCGCACACTGTGACTTCCATCGTACTCACACTCTGTAGATACTACTACGGCAGCTTCAACGCTACGGGGGGTCTCGTCAAGTCGCCGGCTCTCAAGCTGATACCAGCGATAGATGCAGACGACATTGACGCAACGTACTCCGACTTCCTGACTCGTCGTCGTCAGAACTTGGCTTCATTGGCACCGGAAGGCACGCAAGCGCAGATCAAGAAGCGTATTGCTGAAGCAACGGCCAACGCTAGCGCTAGCGCGGCTGCTGTCGAGAACATTGCTTCAGGAGGCAGCAGCGACTCGGTCGGAGGCTCGTACCAATCGCTTCTCAACAAGCTCGACGTCTTTGGGCCCATCGTATTTGGACTGCTTGGCGCGATCTTCGTCGTCCTTCTTGGTCTACTGGGAGTAGGCGTCACATTGTGCATACGACGCGGTCGTACTGTCGGTGTCGTGCGCTCTGCGGATACAATGTATGCGCCGGTGACAGCGCCTATGCGCTTCAAGGAGCCTGTGCCCGAGTACCGAGACGAGGAGAATGCCTCGTACGGGCAATGAGTGCTGCATATGTTCCATTCGTCCCTGGTCCCTGCTATATATATATTAACGCTCGCTGTATCCACATGGACAATGTTACTTCACGCTCATTATGACATGCCATTATCTCAAGTTTATCGCAGCCACCTTGCGCCTGCCTGCACCATATATCCGCTATTCAAACTTTCAGGGTCGGATAGTTATTCATGAAATCTGGTCAAAGTTGTTACCCTCCCGCCCTGTGAGGAAGAGACCTCGGGCCTGCATTTCAGGCGCAACTTTCCGGCACCCTCCCCCGCCATCGTACCCGGATAACCACTCATCGATCTGGGAGTCTGTACTCCACTCCAGAAGTATCGCGGCAGAAGTGGGAAAGGAGCTGACGTGAGGCATCCGGAGAGGCAGAGTGGTGCTTCGCTCACGGAAATGATTGTATTGTTGGCGCAGATGATACCCACAGTGGTATCAGTAGTGCAGTGACGCAGAACCCAGTTGTTCCCTCAGATCGCCTCTCCTTACCTTGCCGTTGGTCGCGCCAACAGTGTCCGCATCATCACCTCTCTTCTTCCCGTTCCCGTCTTTCTTCCCGCCGTCTTTCTTCCCGCCGTCTTTCTTCCCACTGTCCTTCGCATTTGCTTTCTTATTTCCGTTCGGTTTGTCGCCCGTCTTCGGACCATCCTTCGGTTTGTTGCCTGCCTTCGGACCATCCTTCGGACTATCGTTCCCACGGCCGTTCCTGCCGCTGTTTGCGTCGCGCGAAGTCGAGCCGGCAACGTCTGAGGCGGCGCCCTTCCGTGCCTTAGATGGTCCACCTTCATCTTGAGCGGTGCTTGAACCTTGCTCCCCGCGTTTACGGGCTGGGGACGTAGGTCTCAGGTGGCGATGGACGTGGAACGCGACGACGGTAGCGACAGATTTGCGGACGGGATTTGACTCGGAGACGTGGCTAGAGTAGGTAAGTGGCAGCTTGCTGGGGAGCCCGCCAGAGCGCGCCGCGAGGACGGGTAGTTCACTGCCAACAGACGCGCTGCGAGATTCGCAGCGCGCCATTTTATTGGGTTTGGTCAAGCGAACGGGGTGACATCGCGGTATATGCAGTCCTATTGCTTCGATTCTACGGCACCGGCGGTCGGATAATAGAGATACAGATTCAGCGAAACCTGCGAGATGACCGTCAGGAGCAAGGCGCGTTCAGTGCGTGTCGCGCGCGCGCGTCAACGATTTGTTCCTTGCCTGTGACCACCATCATTGACTGCATGGGCCTCCGCCTTTTTACCTCATTCACGCCTCGCGCATCGAAGAAGAAGACATACGACACAGTCGGCTGTCTACCGTAGTCGTCTTATTGGGCGCGAATGGCTACAGTACACCTCGCTACCTCGCTCATTCAACCGTCTAATTCGCGACCTGCTCAACCAGTGCTCACGTCCTTTGTTCTCCAGAACAGCCTGAGGCCACGCTCTTACTTCTTCTGATGCAAGACTACCGTGTACCTGTCCATGAAACCCGCCCTCTCAGAATGTGAGCCTCGGGCGCGAGGAAGCGCCATCATGAGCGTCGAGCGATGCAAGGGACACTCGGATTATATTCATCTCGCGCTGCGGGCTGGGACTGTCTGCCTGTTGTACCGCGTCTTCGTTCACACGAATGATTTTTCACATAGACTCTCGATCTCTATTTCTCAATTTGATACGGCGAATCCACATGCCTTGGCCGTACCGGACAGATATTGATCATTCATGCGAGGCGCCAAACCCGTTGATGCCCGTCAAGCCCGGATGGGAAACTGCCATTCCGCGCGCGCTCTGTACTGCACGAAACGTGCTGCACTGGTCTTTCCGCCTCAGCGCTCTGGCGTTCTAACGGTGAAGAAGGGCGTCACTTCCCATACGTATGCGGGCAGGGCTCATGGTATATAAGACGCCGGCTGCTCACCGTCGCACTCTCATCCTCCACCATGAGGGTGCCCTCTCTCCTCTCGTGCATACTCGTCTACATCGCTTCCGCTGCTTCTCTATCTTATGCTCACGACTATGCCCGTCGCGATGCATTCTCGTCGCTGAACGGCATGAAGATGGTGCCCAAGCCAGCCGCGGGCTCTCCATCTGACGGCTCGATCAAAGGTCTCATGAACAGAGGTGATATAGAGGTATGTGATGTGGTGGCACCCTTTCGATCGCATGCTGACACAAGCCTGCAGTACATTGTGAACATCACTCTTGGAGGCTCTGGTGCGTGTCACTCCTGCGTTCAAGGATGCAAGGGATCTGATAGGGCAAACAGTGTTCGCAATGCAAGTTGATACAGGCTCGGCGGATCTCGTTCTTTACCCGGACCAGCCTATCAAGACTACATCTGTGGTCAAGGGCTCTAATGTCAGCCAGGTCTATGGGGCAGGATCCTTTGCAGGATCTATCGCATTCGCCGAACTCAAGATCGGCGGGCATACCATCGATTCTCAAGGTTCGTGTCATGCCTGAGATACAACAAGACCCTCGCTCATCCGCGCTTCCCAGTCTTTCTCAACGCCACATCGGTAAAACCGTCGCCAAGTCGATAGCAGAGTCTCAGAGGCTCAATCATCCCATAGGTCGACGAGTTCATAACGACAGCGTATCTAGCGGAAGGGCTCCGTGGGATTCTGGGGCTTGACGCGGGCATTGACAATACCAATCTCCAGGACGACCTCTACCAAAAGTACGGGAACAAAGGGCTGGTGATGGGGCGCAATTTCCTCCAGAACATCTTCGCCGACAGCCCAGACCTGGGAAACTTCACCGTTGTAGCTCTGGGACGCAGCGACGACGGCGAGAGCGCTGGGGAGGGGTATCTCGCGATAGGGGAGTATCCGGAACAGCTCAAGGACTCCTTTGCGAAGGCCGACTACGTGGACGTCGTTGAGGAGACTGGACTCTTCACCGTATACGTGGATGCTGTCAAGATCAACGGGAAGGGACTCCCGCTGAACTCTTCGGTGCGCAGCGCCCCGCACGGGAAAGCAGTCGCTACCCTCGACACTGGAGCAACCGCGGCTCAGGTTACTCAGGATATATTCGACGCTATCTACCAGAGTATACCTGGAGCGTTCTACAGAGCTGATGTAGGATATTACGTCGTTCCTTGCCTCCCTCCAGACGCCCCGAACATCACAATCACTATTGGGTGAGAGTTTTGGACCTTCAGTCTTCATTGCTCGATACTGATTCCCACGGTTGTAATAGTGGCGTGGATGTCTATATCAACCCTCTTGATCTCACGACGTTCAAAGACCTTCGTCCCGACTACAACTACTCATTCTGCCAATCGGCCTTCACCGTCTTCGACTTGGGACCTGGCTTCGCGGGCCGGGATTTCCTTCTAGGAGACAGCTTCTTGCGAAACGTGTACACGTCGTGCGTGCAACTCCCGTACACGTATCTCCGCCCCATGACACGATCCACAGTTTCTACTACGGCGCGCTCAACGCTTCGTACGGCTGGGTCAAGTCTCCGGCAGTCAAACTGGTGCCGGAGACTGGTACCCACGACGTCCACACCACGTACTCCGACTTCCTGAACGTTCGCCGTCAAAAGCTAGCGTCGTCTCCTCCGGAAGCCACTCGCGCGCAGATCGAGAAGATCATATCCGAAATGCTGAACAGTGATAACACGACGTCCGGCGCTGTCGAGGACGTAGCTTCGGGAGCCAGCACCGACTCGAACGCGAGCTCGTATCAGTCGCTTCTTGACAAGCTCGACACGTTTGCTCCCATCGTATTCGGACTGCTTGGCGCGATTGTCGTCGTTCTTTTCGGTCTGCTAGGAGTAGGCATCACGTTGTGCATCCGCCGCGGTCGCACTGTGGGTGGGGTACGCGCAGCAAGTGCTCTTTACGCGCCTGTGCCAGCACCAACGCGCTTCAAGGAGCCCGTACCGGAATATAGAGACGAGGAGAATGCACGGTACGACCAGTGAGCGCCGGGAGGTGTGGCTCTTGAGGCGCAGGCAACAGCTTCGTTTATTTCGGTTGTCGGTATCTATTTACGCCCTTTTCATGACTACGGACAATACTATAACGGTTCATTACTTCACTACCAATCTCTTGGACTGACCATCGCTAGTCCCATGTACCTACCTGCACTTATGTAACGTTTCTCACTGCAGAATCCAAGCACTCGTCCACAAAACCAATACGGGGATATTTGTAGGCAACCATCCAGATTCCAGAAGCGCCTGGCAACTTCCTGGGAAGCGCGCCGCGAAGGCGGGGAAGTTCGCTGATAGACGCGCCGCCGGATCATCCAACAGTTCTTTATTGACTTCAACGCTGTCAACGGGACACTATGACACGGTGCTGGATGAGGATAGATTGGCTCAAGCGTACACAGGTGGTAGCTAGATAATAGATATATAGATCCAGCGAAGCCCGCAAGATGGCCGTTAGAAGCAAGGCGCGTCGCGTGCGGGGCGCACTAAGCAGATGATAATGACGTCCCAAACGAGACCGCCGTGCCCCTCAACGACCAACTTTATCTCCCAACGACCATCTGCCGCCACTCGCCTGGTCGATGTCGCCGATGCCGACGTCCGACCTCCCGCCGCCAGCCTCGCCTCCGCCCGGCGCGGACATGCTCTCCTTATTGCAAGATGGCGCCGCACCCGCTGCCGACCCTCCACCGCCTTATCCCGCGCCTTCTCGCCGCGCACGTCGACTACGGCGGCTCGCTCATGCCAGTGGTGGAGAACAGGAGCATAATGATGATTGGCCGGTGTCACCGAGCGAGGATAATGAGGGGGAGCCGGACGAGCGCGCGCCGTTGCTGGGCCATCGGCCGCCTGGCGGATTGCGCCCTCGTGCGCTGAGCCAGAGCAGCGCATCACCCAGCGCCATCAGCGGCGCACCCAGTCTCGTGCAGGCGCTACGATTGGACCTGGACTCGGATGTGGAGGACGACGAAGATGACGAGGAAGGTCATACGGAGCGAGGGGAGTTGAGCGTCGAGGAATCGGATTCGCCAACATCGCCGACCACGAGACCGAGGAGGTCATTCTGGGGAAGGGTGAAGCTATATTTCAAGCCCTTGGTCCGACGAGCGTATTGGGCAGCGGTGTTCCACTTGCTGGTGCTCAACTTCCCGTATGCACTGCTCGCGGCGGTGTATCTCTTCGTCTTTACACTGGTCAGTTGTTCCATTCCCAATTCCTTCCCATCATCTCTGCGGTCCCGATAGAACTGTGGCGAGCCTTTGCATTGGTCTTTCTGACCCAGCGCGGGCTGCGGGCCCCAGCCACTACACACCCCATATCTGGCTCCCATGCGGCCTCATGCGGTCGGGGGCGGTCATCTGTTCTGTTGTTCTACGACACGAGGCGGACCCGCACAACTACTTTATTCGGATTCTGGGAATGGAAGGCGGATTGTAGTCTTTAGAACAAGGGTTGCTGACCCGCTCTTTCACAGGTCGGCACGACGCTGCTCGTGGCACTCCCATTAGGCGCGGTCGTGTGCTTCTTCGATCTGCTCGGCGCACGCGCGTTGGCTCGAGGCGAGGTACGACACCATGATCGAGATGTACACGTATTCGAGTATGTGAACGCTAACGCATGCTTGGGACAGGTCTTACTGCAGACGACGTACCATGGCCCGCTGGGCTATGAGCTCGTTGCGCCCCTCCCCCCGATATTTACCCGGACGAGGGCGCCAACGACTGCCGAGCTAGAAGACGGAACCAGTGGCCCACAGCGTGAGCGCTCGTTTTACCGCAACACATACGCAATGGTGAGCGTGTCTTTCCTATATGGGATGTCGATTACCACTTACATTATGTCGCGCAGTTCACGGACCCGACGTCTTACCACGCCCTATTCTACTTTCTCGTCATCAAGCCGAGCATGACACTCTTGTTATCGCTGTTCTTAGTGCTCGTTGTACCGCTGAGCATTGCACTCGTGCTGCCTGCGCCTGCCGCTTTACGTCTCACGCGCAGGCTCGGCATCTGGCAGGCGAACATCGCCGTCGAAGGTCTTTACATGGGCGGCACGGGCTGAAGATCCTCCGTCATACGCATCTTCACTTCTCTTCGCCTCTCACTTTACGATCTACTCTTACCGTACGCCGTTCATCCCCTTCTCATAACCTCATCATAGTTCGCTTTCTTGTTCTCCTCCTTACCCACGTTTCCGTCGTACGCCTTTCATACCGCGCACTCTCTGAACTGAGATGACACCACGCATTACCCGCAGTTCGGGCGCGGAAGTCTGTATGCGAATGACCATTGACGATGATCTCGGTCCAGGCCCGACGCCCGATATCGAACTGGTCGGTGCCACAATCCGACGGGTACCTCGGCAATTATTGTGCCATCCGCCTTTCGCGCTTCGGTGCATCGGTCCCAACAACTCGTGCGCAGGCTCGAACTGGGCCTTCTCACACCCACTGACGCTCTACAAACTCCGCACCTGCAACTCTGTCTTTCATAGAAGTATTCTGGGCGACAGAAGGCGCTGCAGGTATTTGAAATTCAATGCACCAAGGCGCGGAATGTAGAGAGAAGAAAGATGGGGAACCTGAAGGAACTGGACGAATCGAAGTGAGGGCGCTAAGGCCCCTATCACGCGTCGTTACTAGTTAGTGTGTGGCGGCGCGGCCGCGAGGCAATGGACGGTGATAGGCGCGTCGCCCGACGCCCGTGCGCCGGCGCACCTCGTAATTTCGTAAAGACGCGGGCAGGACATCGGGGCGTGGTGGTCCCCGTCAATGCATATAAGGCGCTGTGCGCGGCCCGGACGCGTGTTCCCTCCCTCGACTCATCCCACGTCGAAACCCGCGTCGCTTCCGAGAGAGGGTGGCCTCCAGTACTACTACTACTACTTAGCCTTCAGTCGCCCTGCCCTACCTGTCGTCGTCCGACACCACCACCACCCTGCTCCCACTCGTCCGCCCGATACTGCATAAGCGTCGCTTAGAACCGCCATGGACATCGTCAAGAGCCTCGTACAGCCGCTCATTGGTGGCGGAGCTTCCAACTCCATGATTGACGGAGTCAAGCTCGTCGTGCTCGGCGGCACCGTCGAGACCGCGCGCCGTATGAGCAGTTCAGCATGGTACTGTGCCACCGTCGTCGCGTCGTCCTAGGATACCAACACTAATACACCTTCACTTTCGTAGGTCATCGTTCGTTAACTGTATGTTATATCGCTACTGTGGCGTCGTCCTAGGATACAGAAGCTGACATACGCCACAGCGTTCTTTCTCACTGCGCACTTCAGCGAAGAAGACATGCCCTACGACTGTAAGCATTCCTCCACTGCCTCTCGCGCCACAGCCACAGCCACAACAACTGACTCGCGTGCTTTCAATCCAGGGCTCATGCTGTGGCTCTCTCGCCGCCCCGAGTGGCAGCGCTCGCGCGAGTTCGAGACGACAACCTCGAGCTCCAGCCCAGGCTTCTACGGCTACCGTGAATCCGAGTCACTCATGTTCGAAGACGACGAAGCGCCGCAAGAAGAGGAAAGCCTGAACGGGAAACGCCGCGCGCGCGTCGTATTCCAGCCGACGGCAGACACCACCCACACCATCTTCTACCGCGGCCACTGGCTGCGCGTCAGCCGCGGAAGGAAGCCGAATGGCTATGAGCTGCTCTCCATCTCGTACGTGTTCCCTCATACTTTGGCTATGGCTATGGCGCTCCTTCACTCGGAGGTTCGGCTGCTTTGACCGTGCCCCGTCTCCCACCCGCCCGCCGCGTGCGCCTCGTGGCCTCGCGCGCGGGGCAACGCTCTCCCACGCTGCCACTTCTGACCCCTATTCCCTTCCGACTTCTCCGTTTCAGTCCCGCGTTCTTCCTTTCGATTCTTGGCCGGGTTAGCTGACGTGTTTGCAGCGTCGTCGCGAGGAACAACACCGTGCTCAAGCAGCTCGTGCTCCAGGCCAAGCGCGAGTACGAGGCCGAGGCCGTTCACAGGATCCAGATCTACTTTGCCGATACGTATGGATCGTGGCGCTGGACGGACAGCCGGCATAAACGCCCGATGTCGAGCATCGTGCTCAACGCGGGCGTCAAGGAAATGCTCATCGCCGACACGAAGGACTTCCTGCGCTCTGAGAAGGTTCGTGCGTTCATATCCTCTTGGTTATGTCCGCACCTCGCCGTGCAAATTCCGGTGTTCCACCCACATCATGTCCGGACGAGTCATACGTACGGCGCTCAACAACCGAGGAGTGTCATACATGGCTTGGGGCTGATGATACTGCGGCTGTTTCTGATTCTTACGATCGAGACGGTGTATTGAATGATGATGCTGACTACTCGTTTTAGTGGTATGCTGACCGCGGAATCCCCTTCAGGAGAGGCTACCTTCTCTATGGGTAAGCATATTTGGTCTGCGATCATTCTAGGCTTGATGTTGATGCTCGCCACAGTGTACCCGGATCGGGCAAATCTTCGCTCATCCACGCCATTGCGGGCGAGCTTACTCTGGACGTCTACGTCGTCTCCCTCTCTTCGTCATGGATCAATGATAGCACATTAACGACGCTCATGGGCCGCGTGCCCGCACGTTGTATTGTCTTGCTCGAGGATCTCGACGCAGCGTTTACGCGCAGCACGAGCCGTGAAGAGAAGAAGAAGAAGGACAAGGAGCGCGCCAAGAAGGAGAGGTCGAACGGCGATGAAAGTGACGATGAGACTACGACTACCACGAGCCATCGCCACCGCCGTCGCGGGGCTGTCAAGAGCACAGATGCTATCTCCGATGTAAACACCCTTACGCTCTCGGGTTTGCTCAACGCACTGGACGGCCTCGCCGCGTCTGAGGGCCGTCTGCTCTTTGCAACGACAAACCACCTCGAGAAGCTCGACCCTGCGCTCTGCCGCCCGGGTCGCATGGACGTCTGGATCGAGTTCAAGAACGCTTCAAAGTGGCAAGCCAAGGGTCTTTTCCAGAACTTCTTCCCCGCCGCCGACGGCGAGTGCGATTCCGAGTCAATCGCTCTCGAGATGCCCTCGCCTCCTTCCCCCGCTCCGGCACCGGGAACACCCAGCAGCACTCTGAGCAGCCTCTTCTCCGAGACCTTCGCCGGCCTTTCATCAGCATCATCCTCAGCCGCATCACCTTCAACGCCGTCAACTTCCCGCCGCGGATCCGTCGCCCAGACGCCAACTAAGAGCCTCGACGAAAGCGCCGAGGCCGAGAAACGCGCGATGGAGGAGCACCTCGCGGCCTGCGCAGCAGCCCGCAAGCCACTGAGCGCAGCCCAGCTCGAGCGCCTCGCCTGCGTCTTCGCCGAGAACATCCCGGACGAGGAGTTCAGCGTCGCGGCGCTGCAAGGCTGTGAGTGTCCTCCTCTTCCCTGCGCGGTTCTGACAACGCGTTTTTACCACCCCACACACACTCCACGGATCGTAGTAGTAGGATCAGGATGATTCCCGGCGCGGTGCGGGATGACTGGCTAGGCCTGGGCTGCGTTTCGTGTTTCTTGCATTCTGAGTTTGTGCTGACTGGTGTCTTTTGCAGACCTGTTGAAGAACAAGAGCCGGCCTGAGGCTGCGGCGCACGGTGCGGCTGCGTGGGTCATCTCCGAACGTGAGCTTCGTGAGAAGCTTCGCAAGGAGCGCGAAGCACGCAAGGCCGAGGAGGAGCGCGAGGTGGGCTTCCTGTTCTACGCGTCGTTCAGAGCAGACTCTTACCTATTCTCTCATGTATAGGAGAAGGAGCGCGAGGCAGCTGAACTCAAGGCTGCCGCAGAAGCCGCGGCTGCGGCTGCGAAGGCTGCAGAACCTGTGACCGTGGTCGCCGTTCCCGCTCCCGCGCCCGTCCTCGCGAGCCCTGTCGTCGCTCCCGTGGCCGACGAAAACACAGCGCCAGTGTCGACACCCACGGAGGCGGTCGAGGCGAGCACGACGTGGGTCCAGGTGACCGACGCCGAGCCTCCCAAGGCCACTGAGACAACAGAGTCGACTAACGCCGAGAACTGACTTGCTGATGCTCCGGCACAGGATGCAAGGACTGTGAGCCGCCGTTTTGCGCGTGGCTACACAGTCGCGCTCCCGATGATCAATCTCGGGGCATATCACGTCCTGCTGCAAGTGTACGCGCTGCTGCTCCAGCTCGTCCTGGGCTTATCAGCGCACATGGGTTGAACATGCCCGAACTGGTCTGTCCCAAGGAACACCCGAATCTGACCGCTACGTCAAGACTCAAGAATCATGAATCCTCAACGCTCGATGCTTATTACTCACGTCCCACGTATCGGCTGCTGTCCGAAGTTCATGTTCTTATGCCCATTCCTGTACGGCGCGCCCAGTGCATGTCCGTACGTTCTACGACTTTGCTGTGACCATATTGTTTCTGCTTTCTTGTGGTATTGCTGTGTTTTACGTGTCTTGATATAACCCCACATCCCTCCAACACCATCATCGAGCCCGTTATAGTCCCGTACCTCCGTCCGTATAGTCTGTTTCATCCCATGTACATATCACGATAGTCATTTGCTTTTTGCTCGCAGTCGGCCCGGAGTGAAGAGAGTTTACTGAACAGCCGATCCGCGGCGCGACCGCAGAGAAACCCCCCCACCAAACTCTTGCGGCAGCGGTCTGGTAGACTACGAACTGGCGTGGATCAGCGGCAAATGCGCCTCCACGAAGGAGCGGGTTCGAACCCTGACCCTCTCACTCAACCGGCTGACGCCGTCTATACTTCATTGAGACAGGCTGTTGCAATGACGCAGAAGTACACTGTGGATACGTTGAATAATGTCGTTTAGCACTGTAAGAAGCAACGTCACAACAAGCTGTCAGGCACTTGAGCATCTCGATGGTCGTAAGACACAGGAAGCGAAAGTGATTGTCCATTATTATGCATCAAAGCTTGATCTACGTCATACAAAGGGCGAGCATGCAAGGTCGATAGTGAATAGATACAAGCTCGAGGCAATGTGGTGGGGGATATGTGTAGTGAATGTAAGGGAATGATGTCCGTGGGGATAGAGTGAGCGTGAATAAATACTACAAGACCCATACAGATGAAGCGTCCTCAATGCTCACTGGCCGTAAAGAGCATGCTCCTCGTCCTTGTACTCGGGTACGGGCTCCTTGAAGCGCACTGGCGCTGGCACCGGCGAGTAGAAAGTGTTGCCGGAGCGCGCAGCACCGACGGTACGGCCACGCCGGATGCACAGCGCGACGCCTACTCCCAGTAGACCGAGGAGAGCAACGAAGATCGCGCCGAGCAGTCCGAATACGATGGGCGCGAAAGTATCGAGCTTGTCGAGAAGAGACTGGTACGAACTTCCGTCCGAGTCGCTGCTAACTGCCGAAGCTACGTCCTCGGCAATAGACGCGTCACCATCGGTGGTGGTATTGGCCATGGACGCGGCGATGATCTTCTCGATCTGCGCTCTGGTGGCTTCCGGTGGGGATGATGCCAGTTTCTTACCGCGGACGGACAAGAAGTCGGCGTACGTCGCGTCGACTTCCTGCGTTTCTGGGACCAACTTGACCGCTGGCGCTTTGACCTGATAACCCGATGCGTTGAACGAGCCGTAGTAGAAACTGGAGATCATGTCAAAGCGAGAATAGATGTGAGCGAGATGGTACGCACGATGTATACACGTTGCGCAAAAAAGGGTCTCCCAAAAGGTAATCCATACCGCTGAAGCCTGCTCCTAGGTCTAACAGAGCGAAGGCCGATGAGCAGAATGTGAGGTTGTAGCCCTCGGGCCGCAGATCATTAACCGAAATGAGATCGAGGGGGTTGATATAGATATCCTGGCCGCTGATACGTGACAAGTGTCAGTATCGAAAAGAACGACGTGTGATCACGATGATATCCTCACCCTATAGAGATCGTGATGTTCGGGGCCCCGCTTGGAGGAAGGCACGGAACGATGTAGGCCGACACATCAGCACTGTAGAAAGCTCCAGGTATACTGCTGTAGATAGCATCGTAGAAATCCTGGGTTACAAAACCGGCACCTGCTCCGGTATCGAGAGTTGCAACCGCTTTGCCGGGCGAAACAAATTCGGGTGACACCGAAGAGTTTAGCGGCAACTCCTTCCCATTGACCGACACAGCGTCCACGACGACGGAGAAGTGTCCGCCTGTCGTTCCGGTGGAGTCCACGTAGTTGACCTTAGAAAACGATTCCTTCAGTCCGTCGGGGTACTCTCCTATCGCGAAATACCCTTCCCCAGCCCTCTCACCGTCGTCACTACGACCTAAGATCACGACAGTGAAGTTTCCCAGGTCCGGGCTTGCGGCAAAGATATTCCCGAGGAAAGTGCGACCCGTAGCCAGCCCCTGATCCCCATGCTCTTGGAATAGCTCGACCTGAAGATTGGTGGTACCGACACCTGCGTCGAAACCCATGATTCCGCGGACCCCTTCTGGCAAAATGTTTGCTGTCACATACGCGTCGACCTGCGGATTGTTTGGGTCCGGCAATGTCAGGTAATCAGCGACTGACTCACCTGTGTGGCATTCAGATAAGCTGAGGAAGATAGGTCAGCTGGTGGGGCCTCATAATTACGCTTGAAGCACGAGACAAACCTTGAGAGTCAACAACATAATTGCCAAACTCGAGTTTGGCGAACGCGATAGATCCCGCATAGAACCCTGTGCCGTAGGTCTGGCTGACATTAGAGCCCTGGACTACGGACGTAGTTGTGATGGGTTTATCTGGGATAAGAACGAGATCCGTTGAACCCGTGTCGTACTGTACGGTGAAAACTATTGGCCAAAGTCAGGTCTCTCATAACCTCGGCCATAAACGTCTCACGCACCAGAGCCTCCGAGAGTAATATTCACGAGATACTACAAGCTTGGGTTAGCAAGCGATAGAGAAAGGTTAATGTAATGGCCTGCCTTCGTATCTTGATCATTCATCAGAGTCATAATCGAGGGATCGGATGGAGAGCCCGCAGTTGCCATAGGCATCATCTTCATGCCGTTCGGCGACGAGAATGTGGCGTCGCGACGGGCATGTTCACGGGCTTGAGATGCAGAAGCGGCGGCAACGGCGTAGACAGCTGTGCAGGCGAGGAGAGAGGGCGCCCTCATGGTGGAGGATGAGATCGACACGGTGAGCGCCCGGCCTCTTATATAGCAACGGCTCTGCACGCATACGTATGGGCAGTAACACTCTTCTGAGCCAGAAAAGTGCCAGAGCGCTGGGGTAAAAGGACCGGTGCAGCGCGTTTCAAGCAGTACAGAGCGCCGGAAGGCATATTTCCGTCCGGGCTTGACGGGTATCAGCGCGTTTGATGCCTTGCGAGAGCGTGAACGATCACTATATGGATGGCCAAAGCAAGTCGATTCTTCATATCGTGGTGCGAAGCGTCACAGATATATGCAATCTGCTCCTTGTGTAATTGGAAATGCCGAAAGAAGGTCGCATTGCGCGGCAAGAGATGAGAAACTTGATCTGACTGCCCCTTGCATCGCCCAAATCTCGTGGTGTTCCTTCTTCGCGCCCAAAGCTCATAGTCCGGAGAGCGGGCTTCACGGCCAGGCACACAGTGGTATTCAATCAGAAGTAGTAAGCAAATAGAGTAAGGCTGTTCTCGAGGACAATGGGCATGAGCACTGGATGGCTTCGTGGAAGGGACCGAATGAGCGAGGCGGTTGCAGGCTATACCGGTACCGACGCTACTCGCGGGCTATGATGCGAGCCTATGAAATTGAACGACAGCATCAAAAGCCTGGTTTATGCGCAAGACGTGGGTTGGGTAGTAAGTTGGAGAGTTGTGCAGTCGATGATGGTGGTAACAGGGGAAAGCCGACGCGTCGACGCGCGCACTCGTCACAGGCTCGGCGGCCTTCTCCGACCCCGAGAGTCACGGAACGTAGCCCAGGAAGAGTCTGCGTAGAGCAAACGGTTCACAGATTTCGTAACACAAGCGCAGCCCTTGAGTCCTCGCGGTGAGTACTCTGCCTGTAGAGCAGGGTAGGATCACGGCACATCGGCAGAAAATACTATCTAATTGATAGTACGAATCAACAACGCGAACGGTCACCCGGTCACACACGGGCTACGCACATATCGCGCGCTCGCCTTCTGTTCTGACCCCACCATCATGGACACGTATCACGAACACCGGTGCCTCTTATATGCGCCACCTCCGAGATACCTATCAAAGACAGTGTAACCGATCATCTCCCGCCTCTTTACTTCCTCCAAGCCGATTAGCGATACATCCTCAATGCAGCCACCAATCATGTCGCCCCATTCATCCATATGCTAGTCTTCGGCATGCCCGAATACCAGGGGGGCCGATTCTCGGAGTACAGCATCATGCCTCTGCATATGCGAAGCTCACCTTTGCACCAGGTCGCTATAGGATTCATTCTACGCCTGTCCAGAACGCGCCGTGGATCCTGGCCTAGCGGCCCGCCTTATATAAGCCAATGAAAGATTTCTCACGCCCCACCAGAAACCTCTGCTACGCCATCACCCCAAACATGATACCTACTTATCCTTCGCGATGATCAAGCTTACTATTCTCATCCGTGTACTACACTGCAACTCGGCCGACCACCGAAATCACCACGCCGCGCGCCGCTCATGGAAAGTGCAGATCAACCACGCATGATCGCGAGTTCAAGCTCGCAACGCAAACACCCATCGGGTGCACGGTGGTTCCTCCAATCGTAATCTGTGGCTGCAATCATGACCGTCAACCTGCCTTATAGAGGAGTGGATGCCCACGGCTGCCGTGTCACTGCCGCCTGCTGGTTTGGCGGCGCGCTCGCTATAATCGTAGTGTACGCGCGAGGCGTATCTGATCCCCTTTAACCTTACTTTCCTTACTAGTACGAGCATGGCGAGTAGTTAGCTGTGAAACTCATCAAATAGTATTACATTGCATAGGGGGAGTCGAGGAAAGCAGTCGCGACGACAGAACAAGCGGCGAACACTACTCGGTACACGACTACAGTCCGAGATCGTTCGAAGTCGAAGACATCTATCCTATAGGAGCCAGCGAGGGCGACATAGTGAAGTATCACTCTTAAGCCACCTCGCCATCGTGCTCTGCAGCAGTAGCATCCTCTACGAAGAGACCCTGAGCCGCAGCCGGAGGTGGCAGCGCCAAAGTGTCGACCGGCTGTATGGGAGTACCTCCAG